AGGAGGGCTCTACAAGGGTCCAGCCAGGCAGCAAGGACTTCTCAACCATCTTTTCCTGTGGCACAAATGTTCCCCCAATAACTCTGGCAACTCTCCATTCCATAGTCTACGTCCCAAGGAAAAGTGGGTTCTATAGGCCAAACTTGGGTCACATGCCAAGCCCTTGGCGCTGGAAGGTGGGGCAGCGTGACTGGCATCCTGCCAAGGCTGCACTTGGTGGGGAGAAGGCAATTCCCTAGAAGGAAAGGGGAGTCCTTCAGCTTCCTGGAAGTCAAAAGGGGGACACAGACAGTCAAAGCATCACTGCAAACACTCCAAATGCATGTCTGGCTTCTCATGGGGCAATGAAAAGGACCACCTAGATTCTCAGGGGAGGACAGTGGGAACCTCGTGGTGTCATACTGTAGGACTTTATGGGCATCTGCTGAGCCCCTCCTCCTCCCCCTTTGTCCTGCTGGGCCCCTCCCCTTCCTCCTTTTGTCATCACCCTGAGTCATGATCCAGTGTCACCAGCACATTAATACCTGCTACTCCACTTTCAATATTCAGGGTGCAGACTCCATGTATTTTTGGGACAATCTCTAATTAGCCGGAAATACTGGGATAGAGCCCTGCTTGTGGCTGACAGCTAAATAAATATACTAAATGGCCGAGGTAATGTGGAGTTGGTTTTCATTTTATCGTGTAATAAGAGAAGCAATGGGAGGGTGGGGGACTTGTTATCTCTGGCGAACCTGATGGATGACGAGGTGTCTGAGAGGTGTCTGATCCGCCAGCGAGTGTCATCACCCGCCTCCATCCTACTCCCACCCTGGGCCCACCCAGAGCATTTCCATCCTCTTCAGAATTAGCTTATATCCTCTGGAGATGATTCAAAGGCAACATCGTGGTGGATATTTCTTAAGTCAGAGTCACATTTCTTAGAGACATCATGGGCCTTTGAGACATCAGATTCTGGGCTAAAAGGCGCCTTAGATATTTATTCCTTCAAAATAATTTCTATTAAAAAGTTTCCCAGTCTGAGCAACATAACAAGACTCTGTCACTACAAAAAATGGAAAAATTATCTAGGCATAGTGGTGGGCACCTGCAGTCCCAGCTACTTGGAGGGCTGAGGCAGGAGGATCGCTTGAGCCCAGGAGTTTGAGGCTGTAGTGAGCTATCATCACAGCACTGCATTCTAGCCTGGGTAACAGAGTGAGACCCTGTCTTAAAGGAAAAAAAAAATGTTTCTGGAATTTAGTGGGAGGAAGATGTAACCAAAATATGAAAGATAATTTTGCAAAAGGAAAAAAAATTCTCCACACTCATCACCATCCTAACACATTAACTGTTTTCATCTGTATTCTCTCCTAGTGGGGGAGAGTGGGGAAAGTTGCAAAATAACACAAATCTGTGTTGAAGTTCAAGTTCTTTTATTTCCTGGCTCTGCGACCTTGAAAAAGTGACTTCCTCTTTCTGAGCCTTAGTTTCTTTAAAAGGGCAGAGTAAACCGCATAGGTCACCTTCTCCTCAGCACCCACCGTTCACTAAGCTCGGTGGGAGATGGACACAGACCCTGCCCTTAAGAAGAGTTGCTCGGTTACATTAAAACATATTAATTTACTAGATTAGCTAGGAAAGGACAGAAGAGTGAAGAGGTAGCTTTGAATGGAGTGAGGATGTCCTATTCATGGGTGGAACATCAGCTCTATAACCATGTTTCCTCACTGGGAATCATGGGATGGCCAGCTGGACCGTATGCTGACTACCAGACCTGGCCCCAGAGACACATGTGCCCACGTGTATGTACTGACCTGTATATTTGGGCCTAAAACACATGTGTACAATGTAGACCCCCCCACATATTCATACACATATGTGCATACAAAGCACTGGCGTGTGTACACATATGTGCTCCATGTAGACATGGACCCATGCATAAGCACATACATACCTATACGTGCACACACACAGGACATGTGTATACATGTGCACAGGACACAGACAAGGAGCCAGGTGCATACACACAGATGTGACGATGTGAACACATGTGCACAATCGTAGGGACCACACATAGGTGTACATGCTCTGTGTCAACTGAATGCACTCCCAGAAATATCTCTCCTGTACATGCAACTCCACGTCAGCCTTGCAGCCCCCAGTGCCTCTCCTGAGCATGAGCTCCCCTCAGCCAGCCCCAGTTGGGCAGGGAATTGCTTGTTGGAAGCAATTTGGTCCACACAGACCTGCAAGTGGCCACTCAGCATGAATGTACGATCTCATAAGGCGCATAGGGGCCTGGGTTGGTCAGAATTCATGGCTTCAACTTGTCCGCCTAAACTGTGAGTGTTGGAGCTGGTTTAGGCCCTGAGCACAGACGGGGGCAGACTATCCGGCATCTCACAGCAGGCGGCTGTCTCAGCAGTCTCTGGACGCTATCCAACTCTGGACCGTGCTGTTCGGTAGAGGTGAGGCACCTCTACTTAAGAAGGGTCTTGAATGGCAGGCTAAGCTAGAGGGACTCAGTCCTACCAGCAAAAAGGAACCATAAAGGTTTATCCCCTCCACCCCCAGGCACCTGTCACAGTGCCTCCGTGGAGTTGGTGCTCAGTAAACGCATAGGGGATTGAAGGGCACTGGAGGAATGGACTGAGCCTTTTGCTAGCAGCTGGGCAGTGACCAAGAATGGTCTAAGTGGAGTCAGCTGCCAAGAGTCCACTTAGCACCCAAATAGTATTCCCTTCCCATCACAGGATCTGAAATTCCTCCATTAGAGAGTCATTTAGTAGGGGGCTAGGGATGGGGATCCCCAAAGTCTCCAGGATCTGGTTGAAGATCAAGCCTGAGGGTTCAGGTTTGCAATCTGTTTTGAACCAAGCATCTGACTCTAAAGACAGTTTCTGGGAGTTGTGAAGCTGAGTCAGGTCTTCTCTCCAGACCTCAGTTTTTTCATCTAATGAGGAGAGGACTGTTTAGCTGGTGATCTAAAAGTTTCTTTTCACATCTAACCTGAGTCACTTTGCTTCCCCAGGCCTCTGTGTCCCTGTCTACAAAGTGGGACTAGTGATCCCCACCTGGTATATCCTGATGGGTGACGAGAAGGTGCAATGAGATGGCGGATATGGATGTGCTAGGAAATCTGGGTGCTCCACCAGGGGAAGGAGCAATAATTAATAACCTTTGGAATGCCTTGCCAGACACTACTTTGGCCTGGGGCATACAACAAGGACTCCATTAAAGTTTTAAACTAAAGAAATAGCGTATAGTGAAGCAGAAAAATGTTGGGACTGTACAGAGGTAGCAGATGCCTATGTTGATGTATTCCCTCTTCCTAGAACAAGGTTTCTTCTAAGTGGGCCTAGCTAACTCTCCCTCATTCCTCAAGTTGCAGCTCTCAGTGTCCCTCTGTAAACCTTGCTGATATCTTCCGGCAGACTCAGTGTCTCTGGCTCTGGATTCCTTGCCTCCAGCACCATCCCAGCTCACATCACTCCATGCAGTAACTCTGTATTTTTGTTTGTTTGTGAGCTGTGATCATGCCACTGCACTCCCAGTCTGGAAAACAGAGTGAGGCCCTGGTCAATCTCTGTTTTCCAGGCTGGGAGTGCAGTGGCATGATCATAGCTCATTGAAGTCTCAGACTCCTGGACTCAAGTGATCCTCCTGCCTCAGTCACCCCAGGTAGCTGGGACTATGGGCTGGGCATGTAGCTAATTTTTAATTTTTTGCAGGGGGGCATATCAATATTGCTTAGGGTGGTCTCATACTCCTGGGCTCAAGTGATCCTCCTGCCTCTGCCTCTCAAAGTGTTGGAACTACAGGTGTGAGCCACTGTACTCACCTGTAACTTGGTTTTCTAAGGTTGCTTCTGGACTCCTTTGAGACCTGGGGCTGGGCCCCAGGAGTCTTCAGGAGCTACCAAGGAGCCAGAAACACAGGGCATGTCTGTTAAATGTTTCACAAGGGAGGTGGTACCCTGAGTTCGGACAACTGTGACAGTGTTTTATCAGAAGGCATCATGTGACGGCTGGGATTTGGGGGAGTGATTAAGGACAAGCTCCTGGGCTTCCATGCTTTTCTCCTCCCTTCATTCCCTCCCCTCCTTCGCCAGGGTAGGGTGGACTTCTGGTCCAGGGGTTGCAAACTTCAGTGACCCCTGAATGACAGGGGCAACACACAGGGATAGGTGAGGGAGTGCTGAGGAGTATGGTGACCAGGGCAACCAGGCCCAGCTCCAGCAAGCTGTTGCCAGAAAGAAATTTGGGCCTCTCTTTTCCAAGAGATTTTCAAGAGATGCCATAACCCCAACATTTTCCTAAGTTCTCCTGGTTTTAAGGTGTTGGTTATTCAAATGTTTCCAAAACAGTGTGGAAATCGAACAAATTTCTCTGCGAATGGGTTATAGAGCCCAGGACATCAGTTTGGAATTCTGAAAACTGCCCTGCGCTTTCCCATTGTACAGATGAGAAAATTCCGAGACCCAGAGAGGGGAAGACATTTGTCAGAGGTGACACAGTTGGGATTAGAGCCCAGGACCCACTCGTCCCCATCTTTCCCCTCTCACCACCCACCCTCCGCCCACCTTCACCACCACACCCATCTCTCAGTCTCCGTGGTGTGGGTCTGCTCCGTGTTTCTCTATCCCGGGGCGTCTCTCAGGCGTGGTCTGCCTCCTGATTGCCTCCTTTATGGCGTGCCTCTCTCCATCTCTCTCTCTTTGCCCCCTATGTGAGTGTTGTCTGCCAACAGACGCGGGTGCAGAACCACGCTAGCACCCCAACCTGCGTTCGCGCCTCCTCGATATCCCTCCCGCCCCCGCTCCAGATTTCCGGGGGAGCAGGCGGGTGGGGACCCGCGGGGCCGGCTGCCGTCAGCGCCCCTTCCCGGCGGCCGCGACCCCTCCCCGCTGACCTCACCCGCGCCGCCGCCTCGCGCAGATATAAGAAGCGGCCCCGCCAAGGAGCTCGCAGCCGGCGCCCGGGGTCCCGCGAGCGCTCCTAGACTCCGACCCGCGACTCCAGACCCCGAGCCCCAGGATCCCGGACTCGTCCCGCGGAGCCCGCGCCAGGCAGGTAACCACCTTCCACCCCTCACCCGGCGCAGGCGACGACCGGGAGCGCTGCGAGGGGAGCCCTCTCCGGGGCCCGCGGCTTTGGTACCCGAGCGCTCCACGGACGCGGGCCCCGCAAAGTGGGGCGCAGCGCCTGCACCTCCCGATCTTCCACCAGCGCTGGCCGTGGCCGCGACGGGAGGCGCGGCGCCGACACACCCTCCTTGGTCTCGGTGCGCTCACCCGGCATCTGCGGCGCTCGGCGTCCCGCTCCTGCCCGGATCCCTGCTGCGGGTCCCCGCCGGGACGTTCCGGCAGATCTGGGCGTTGGGGTGGCGTGGGAACCTGGGAGTTCGAATCCGAGGCCCGACGTTAGATATAGCATTTTCGAGTTGGAATTGGGGTGTTAGTGATAGAGTGGAATTCCTAGCTTGTTTATGGAAACTTAGCGTTAGAGAATCTTAGCTTTACAAATTTGAGCGTTAGAGCCTGAATCTTAGCGCTAGAAATGGAATCTTAGCGTTGGAATCAGGACTTTGGCCACAGGGTTGGAATTAGAATATGGCTGTAGGAACCTCGGGGAGAGACTCGTCAGGGACTCGGCCCTTAGCGTCCGACTGTCGGCCCTCGCGCTACAATAGGGATCGTTAAACTCTGGACGAGTCAACCCAGCTCTGGCTTCCCCAGCTCCGTGAAACATTAAGGGCTGGAGGTGGCAAAGGGGTTCCCACGGCCCTTGCCTTGCGCAGGCAGAACTGGGCACCGGCAGGCATTCCAGGCACCCTTATGGCCGAGGACGCCTCAAGGTGACAGGTGTGGATGCAGAGCCAGAGTAGATCCTGCTGCTCCCGTCCCCGCACAGAAGTCAGTCCAACGGTCCTGCTTCTGGGAGGGCAGGTGCTTGGTGCCTGGTTTGTGTCTGGGGTCAGGTGAGATGGAGTAGGCCGGGCGGAGATTTGGTGCGTTCACGATCTCTCTTTGTCCCCTAACCCCAGACATGGCGATGCCTGGCCCTTGGTTACTGCTCGCCCTGGCTTTGACCCTGACTCTGACCGGTGTGCCCAGTGGCCGCGCTCAGCTCGAGGAGGCCCAGCAGGAGGCGGTGACGGCCGCTGAGCACCCTGGCCTGGACAACCTCCTGCGCCAGGCGGAGCGCCTCCTTTTCCTCCGGGAAAACTTCCGGCGACTGCAAGGGGACCAGAATGAGCCCTCAGGTGAGCGGGTGAGGCTTCGGGGAGGGTTGGGGGTGAGAGTTGTGAGGGAAGCTGTCGGAATTGAGGGGAGGTCTTGAGGAGAGGGGAGGGAGGAGCGACGTGAAAGGCAGGTCCAGCCTCCTGCCTTTCAGAAGCTCAGAAACCCTCACTGATCAGGGCCTCCTTAGCAGAACTTTCCTTAGGATCAGGTACCCTTTCTGTCTCGGTGCTGGGAATATTTCATTGAGAGCAGGCCTTCGGTGGGGAAGCTTCTGTGTGTTCGGGAGAGAGACTGTCTCTTTGTATGTGACAGTCTTTTAATTTCTATTTTCAGGTTGGGTGTGGTGGGTCAGGCCTGTAATCCCAGTACTTTGAGAAGCTGAGGCAGGAGAATTGGTGGAGGCCAGGAGTTCAAGACCAACTGGGCAACACACCAAGACCCTGTCACTATATTAAAAAAAAAAAAGAAAGAAAGAAAGAAAAAAAATTACCTAGACATGGTGGCATGAGCCTGTAGTTCCAGCTATGCCAGGGGCTGAGGCTGGAAGATCAGTTTGGTCCAGGGGTTTGAGGCTGCAGTGAGCTATGATCACACCATTGCACTCTAGCCTGGGTAACAGAGCAAGACCTTATCTTTAGTAATAATAGTTATTACTATTATGATTTTCTAGGCACTTACATGCCAGGCATTATCTATTTGATCTGCCTAGCAACTTTTTAGTTAGATACCACAGAAGAAAACAGGTTCAGGTAGATCAAATGAGTTACTTATGACAGTCACACAGCTAGGGAGTGACAGAGATGGGATTGGAGCAATGCCTTGGATTCTGTGTGAATGTGTATCTCTGTGAGGCCTTAGAGGCAGGTGCAAGACCAAGACTCCGGATGGGTCCTGCAAGAAATCTGCCCTGACCAAGAGGCAAGGTGGGGTGAGAACTCCAGTGGACCCTTCCTGAGGTCCCTTGCTGGTCTCTTTCTTTCTCCAGAGTCTCAGATCATTCAACCCAACTGGCTCTCCAAGCGTCAGCATCCAGGAAAAAGGGAGGAGGAGGCCGAAGAGGGAGTTGAAGAAGAGGAAGAAGAAGAAGAGGGAGGGGCCGTGGGACCCCACAAACGGCAGCACCCTGGCCGACGGGCGGATGAGGCCTCATGGTCAGCTGATGGAAGCCAGCACAAGCGGCAGCACCCTGGCCGACGCTCTCCTTGGCCTGGGTATGCTGTCACCAAGAGGCAGCACCCAGGCAGACGGCTGGTGGACCCTAAGGCCCAAAGGAACTGGGAGGAGGAGGGGTTGGAGGGAGAGGAGGAACTGATGCCTGAGAAGCGCCAGCATCCAGGCAAGAGGGGCCTGGGAGGCCCATGTGGCCCCCAAGGAGCCTGTGATCAAGCAAGCCTGCTGCTGGGGCTCCTGGATGACCTAAGCAGGGGACAGGGAGCTGAGGAAAAGCGGCAGCACCCTGGGCGGCGGGCAGCCTGGGTCAGGGAGCCCCTGGAGGACTGAACCCTGTTTCCTGTAAACTTGAGTTTGGGGTCTAAGAATGTCTTGAGCCCTGTGTGCCCCACCCCTTCATGACCCCCACTTTACCTCCTCCTTAGATCCCTGACATAAAACCTGTGCCCCCACACACATCTCAGCCCCTGGCCTTGACCCCTTCAAGGACATGAGAAAGCCAGCCTAGAAGTTAAAACTCCATTTCCCCCCACCTTGCACCACATGCAAGGAGGCAGATCCTAGAGCCCCCTCCCTCTCCCCTACAGGCCCGCTACCCTTCCTTAGCCCTGGTTTAGATGGTCCTTCTGTGTCTTCTAAGAGATCCCCCAGTAGGGCAGGGTGCCTCTGGGCAGAGCAGCCAGCTGGGTGGTGATTGAAGCTTTGATGTCCAAATCCAGCCTCCACCCCCTGGCCCATGTGGCAGGATGTGCTGAGTATAAACCCCACCCCTGGATCCAGAATCTCCTCCTCTTTGTGAGCATTCTTTTTTGGGAAGGCAGAGCCCTGACCCCTGGCTGTGTTCTGACTGGGGAAAGCCTGTGTAAGTGGAGATACCCTGTGGGGCTCTCTGTCTGTGCAGTGGAATAAATGTGTGTAGGAATATGCAGATGTCTGGAAGTCACAGCTGTGTCTGATCCTCTAGGCCCCTTCCCCTTGTCAGTGATAATCATCCTAATGATAATAAAACATGAATCTGATAACTGTGGAGCTCTGTGGTTGCAATTCTGTCACAGCTGGCATGGGGCTCCTCTTTTGCACTGAGAGGAATATTTAAAAGGGGACAGGGTTGGGCACGATGGCTCACAGGTGTAATCCTGGCATGCTGGGAGGCCAGGGTGGGAGGATAGGTCAAGCTCAGGAGTTCAAGACCAGCCTGAGAAAGAGTGAGACACATCTCTACTAAAAACAGAAAAAATTATCGAGGTGTGGTGAATGTGCCTGTAGTTTCAGCTACTCAGGAGGTTGAGGCAGGAGGATTGGTCAAGCCCAGGAATTTGAGGTCGCAGTGAGCTATGATGAGGCCACTGCACTCTAGTTTGGGCAACAGAGTGAGAATCTGTCCCAAAAATAAGTAAATAAATAAATAACAACAGACAGAACTAGAGCTCCCAGCTCTGCTGCAGAGGGAATCAGGGGCCCAGGGGCATGTAAAATCCCCTCTGCTGCTCTCATCTCAGAACACACTTGGGAGGTGGATGGTGGTCCTAGAGCCATTTGATCCCTCAGGAAACCAAGGCCTGGAGAAGGGGAAAGACTTGCCCCAAGACACATAGCTGGCTGCGGTGGAGCCACAGGCGTGGGAGGCCAGCTCAGGGCCCTGCCTTGAGTTTGCGTGATTTGGAAGGTGGGGAGGTGGAATGGGAAGACAGTTCTGGTTCTGATCTGTGATCCTCAAGGTTCTGTTGACAGTCATTGTCACCCAATAGTCTGTTAACTGACAGGTACAAGAGGACAAAGGACCAGACTGTAGTGGGAGACTCAAATCAGGGATCTGCTAGGGCCAGTCAGGGCAGCAGGCTCGATGCAGGACCAGAGGGAGTGGCAAGACAGAGCACCCCAAAGAGGCTATTGGAAGATACTTGAATTCAGAAACTTTAAGAATCAAACAATAATAGTTATAATAAGACATATATATAGAGAGAGAGACACAACACTTACATGGCAGGAACTGTCCTAAGCACTTTGCATATCTTAATTCTTTTCATTACAACAATCCTTCCAGACATCACTACTCACATGCCCATTTTACTACGGTAAAGTGCGGCAAAATTACCTAACTTGTCTAAGGCTGAATTTGACCCACTCATTGCCAGTTTACAGCCTCTGACTTAAACTAAACTCCCAAATCTGCTTAGCGTTAGACTCTGAATTGGTTAGACCACCACTGCTGGGTGAATGGATGGGTTTTTGACTTTCCTACAAAGAGCTTTTGGTCATCTTCTAGAGTAGAGGCAAGAAGGAGCTGGAAGGATGTCTAGGACCCAGCTGCTTTCCTTGGGGAGCTCATGGTTTAAGAGGGGCAGGAAGTGGGGAGAGAAAAAGACTTGGGGTTTACAAGAAGCAATGACACCCATCTTCTCCATTAATGCTCCCAAGAGACCTTTGAGACACTAAGCATTTGAAGGATGGGAAACCAACATCTTATTTTCCTGTGAGGGAACTAACAGAGACTAGGGTCCTGCCTATAGGTAAAGAGTGGAGACATGGCCTTCACCCCAGGCTCAATTTTCCACGTGCCTTCTTCTAGAAGTTCTTATGTACCCCACTGTTGCCATCGCGGCCAGTGGGCCCTAGCAAGAGTCCCTCTGCCCATAGACCCCCTCTGAAGGTGGGCAGTCTACAAGAGGTAATATAGACTGCTCATGGGTACTTTCTGGGTGCTCTGTGCTTACAGAACTTTCTCACTGAATCCTCATCATTGCCCCAGGAGGCATTAGCAGCAGCAGAAAGTTGATCTGCAGCCTAGTATGAAATTAAACCACTTGCCCAAAGACATACCCCACACTCTCCTGCTTTCAAACTCGATTGGTGAGTGTGGTGGTGTTTCCTCTTTAGAAATGACATTTGAAGATTAAGAAGTCCACTCCCTCCAGCTAATTAAATGTTCTCCCTTTCCCCCTGTGAGTGATTGTTCTAGTTCCTCATCATGGAAAGGATCTGGGCATTGGTCTTAGTGATAGACAAATGATAAAACTGGTTTGTGCCTCAGTCTTCTCACCTGTAGTATGGGCACAATAATTCCTGCCCACCCCTCATGGTTGTTCTAAGATTAAATGAGACAGAGTGATGCATGTACAACTCAGCACAGTGCCTAGCACCAAGTAGACTCTTGATAAATGGACTTTTAGCCCTAGTGCTCCACAACCAGAAGGGACTCAAAATTAAACCTTCAAGATCCACTTGTTCCTTTCTTCATTCTCCAATCAAAAAATGAACAAAAACAAAACAAAAAGTCATATGCACATCCATACTAGGCATCTGGGCTTTATCCTTTGCTTTTGTCCTCTTGCTGTTCCCAAATGACGCCCCCCTTTCCTCTTTCACACATACGCCATTGCTCAGCCTAGGACACTGCAGCAGAGAAGCTCAGTGTCCACATCTAGGGTTCTCAGCCTCCTTAAAGGGTGGGGTGGAGTCACATGACCAGTCGTGGCCATTGGCTGTGAGCAGTAGGGAGTCAGTTCCAGGCTGAGGATGCAGCCATGTGCTTCCCTCACCCCTTTCTTCCTGTCACATGAAAGGCCATGTGTGAGGGAGCACAGCATGTGGGCGAGAGATTCTGAGCCTTGGGCTCTCTAAGTGGAAGTTATGCACGACTCACCACATCAGCTTCTCATGTGCAAGAAATAAACTTGTGTGTGTTAAGTCATTGAGATTTCAGTTTATTTTTTACCTTAGCAAACCTTAGACAATTCTGACTTTACAGATGCCCCCACCATGTTCTCTCCTCACCTAAATCCTTCCTTTCTCTGCTTCATGTGTCTGCTGTCATCAATGCTCCCTAGATCAGGGCCTGGCATAAAATAGGTGCTCAATAAATATTTGTTGAATGGGCTCGGGGCCTGTAGCTCAAGCAGCTAAGGCACCAGCCACATACACCAGAGCCGGCAGGTTCGAATCCAGCCCAGGCCTGCCAAACAACAATGGCAACTACAACCAAAAAATAGCCAGGTGTTCTGGTGGGCACCTGTAGTCCCCGCTACTTGGGAGGCTGAGGCAAGAGAATTGCTTAAGCCCAGGAGTTGAAAGTTGCTGTGAGCGGTGATGCCACAGCACTCTACCCAGGGCGTCAGCTTGAGGCTCTGTCACAAAAAAAATATTGTTGAATGGATGTTAGAAGCTTCAGGTAACTTCTGTTTTAGTTCCCCAGCTTGACTTCCCCAGGCTCACTGACCTTAAGGCACTTCCCTTCTGGGGAGGAGCCAGACAAGCAAACAGATGCTACAACTTAGTGTGAGAAGCGTTGACTGTAGGGAACACAGGATTCAAGGGGATACAGATGGGAAGAGAGCCACTCTGGTTGGGCAAAGAAGGCTTCCTGGAGGAGGGAACATCCCAGTGAGTCAGAGGAGAAATAAGAGGAAAAGCATTTGAGGTAGAAGGAAGAAGCATTGACATGTCCCAGTGGGAAACATACTGTGTTCTTGGAGCTGCTAACACCCGAATCTGAAGTGTTGGCCTCTCCCTTCCCTTCCCCATCCTACCTCCCACCTCGGACGGGTGGGCCTTGTGCCTGATCCATCCTCCCCCTCCTTTTTCAGTTCTCACACAAGGACACTGATTCCTGCAGCTTCGACGTGTGAGAGAGCAGTGTGGTCTGGGGCGGCAGGAGGGGAAAGGGGTGTTTGAATTAAGCATTGAGGGATAAAATAAAAATAAAATATTTTCCGAGTTTTACTGAAACCAGACATTGGAAAAAAACACTATCATATCCCCTGCCTGGCATATAGTAAGTGATTTGTAAATATATGTTGAATCAATTAACTGTCTATTATAATCATTCTCAGTTACAAGGAAACAAAGAGAGAAATAAGTAAGGTGACCTTTATCAGTTCATGAGCCCGAAACCTGGGAGTTTTTTCTATACTTCCCCTACCCCGTCATCCACATGCAATTCTTTGGAGTCCTACAGATTTTACCTCCCAAACATGTCTCAAATCTACCTATTTCCTTCCAGCTCCTCTTCTGCCACCTATCCTGGCCACCAACATCCCTCATCTTGATACTACAGTCGACTTCTTGCTGGTCTCTGGCTTCCCCTTTTGTCCCCCAAACCCGTTCTCTACGCAGGAGCGAGAGGGACCTTCCTGAAGTGCAAATCTGATCAGAGAACCCAGCCTGCTTGAAGCTCGCCAGTGCCTTCCATGTCAGTCTGCCCAGTTGGCCCCTTTTTTGTTTCCTGAACATTCCTCAAAGCCTTTGTTCATTTTATTTCCTGTGTTTTTAACCCTCTTTCCTCCTCATCTTCCCTGTTTGACCTCCTAATGTGCCTTCCTACACCATGGAGTTGGAAAGGAAAGAGTACATTCCCCAAACTCCCTTGCAGCTAGATTTTTTTTTTTTTTTTTTTTGCTGCATAGTA